ACGCTCTTCTGGGAGAAGTGCCCATACAAGGAATTACGCCCTTTATGACGTCATACAGGGCCATACTCGAAAAAAAACTTTCCGAAACTTATACAAACCTTGAAGGAGTGTATTTAGCACAGAAATACTCCGTTATACGTCCAAGCTGTTTTTTGAAACTTTGGCCATGTTTAGCATGAGAATCCAACTCTTTAACAGTGTAAATAACTCAACATGCATAAAATAGCATTAGACCTCCCCTTTAATGGATTTTTCAGGTACACCAATATAAAGGGCATTACCATAATCAACCCTAGAGGTAACAAATGCATGGACAAGCCTTTCAGCATCAGATAGTGAAAGAAAATGCCTAATCCTGGCAATATTCCTGAGGTGAAAAAAATGATTTTGAAATACTCTTGATATGTGCATCCAGAGTCAAATGAGGATCAAAAAGAACACCAAGATTACGAACTAGAGAGGACGGAAATACTACACTATTATCAAAATGCAAACTCAAATTTATACCATTGGAAGCAGCTTCAGGGGTACCGATGAGAAGGACCTCTGACTTAGTACTATTCAATTTAAGAAAATTGTGGTACATCCATAATTTAATTTACTGCAAGCAGTCAGTTAGTGTTTCCGAGATACCTGTAATATTAGTTTTCGTGCTTATATAAATTTGTGTATCATCAGCATAGAAATGAAACCCCAAACCATGCTTTCTAATTATCTGCCCTAGAGGGAGCATGTAAATACTAAAAAGTATAGGACCCAGGACAGAACCCTGGGGAACACCATGACAGACCTGTCCGACATTAGATTTGTTGTTATCTAAAACAATAAACTGGGAGCGATCAGAGAGACATTTAAACCACTCAAGCACTGTACCGGAGATACCAAGCCAAGTCTCCAGTCTCTCAATCAGTATAGAGTGACACACCGTATCGAAGGCTGCATTCAAATCTAACAGCACCAGAATAGTAAGGGCACCAGAGTCAGCAGAGACAAAGAGATCATTCATGACTCGAACCAGGGCAGTCTCCGTACTATGTCCTGATCGAAACCCAGATTGAAAAGGTTCTAAGAGCTTGTTCAAGGACAAGTGAGAAGTGATGAAACACATAATCATTTACATGTGGTAGCAATTTGATAGATATGACCTGACTTACTCCTGTGCTGTTGGACACAATGGGCGAGGTCTCCCCATTGTTGTCGTCCTCTGCCAGCACTTCAGCTTCGTCCCAGGATATGCCGGCATGCTTAAGATTGTTGGTAAAGGTCTGGCACCAGGTGGTTCCGGGTTGTCCACGCTTGGGCCTCACGGCCACCAATGCATTGTTATGCATAGAATATGCCCGACTAGCCTGAGATGTTGCTGTGTGATGGCAACTTGAAGGCTGTTGGAATTTCCCAGCTGCAAGACTTTTTCATTGGTGATGCGATCAATAAACCAGATCTTGAGAATGCTTCCATGTTTCGCATACCATAAATTGTGCTTTTGGACAACAATGGACAACTTGATCTTAAGAGAGATTGAAGCTGACAAAGACATTAAACTGTTTTTTGTGTTTTTTTTCTAGACCTGATTGAGAAGAGTCAAGAGCTGAAGGATATGGAAGAGAAAGAGCAGAATGAGAAAGATCATGATTTAAAAATTGGAGAAAAGAAGGTAGAATCTAAGAGTTTTACCTGCCATCACTGTGGAAAGAGTTTCAATCGACAACGAAACCTTAAGGTCCACATGAGAGTTCACACTGGAGAGAAGCCTTACACCTGCCAACAGTGTGGAAAGAGTTTTGCTCAAAAAGGAAGCCTTGCAGTCCACATGAGAATTCACACCGGAGAAAAGCCTTATACTTGCACTCAGTGTGGACACAGTTTTACACATAAAAGCAACCTTAATTCCCACATGAGAATTCACAGTGGAGAGAGCTTGTTCAGCTGCCAACAGTGTGGAAAGAATTTCATTCAAAAACATAACTTGGCAGTCCACATGAGGATTCACTCTGGAGAGAGACATTTTATCTGTAAACAGTGTGGAAAGAGTTTCACTCAAAAAGGAAACCTTGAAGTCCACATGAGAAGTCACACTGGAGAAAAGCCTTATATTTGCTCTCAGTGTGGACAGAGTTTTATACAAAAAAGCAACCTTAAATCCCACATGAGAATTCACAGTAGAGAAAGCTTATACACCTGCCAACAGTGTGGAAAGAATTTCAATCAAAAACAAAACCTTAAAGTCCACATGAGGATTCACACTGGAGAGAGACATTTTATCTGTAAACAGTGTGGAAAGTCTTTCACTCAAAAAGGAAACCTTGAAGTGCACATGAGAAGTCACACTGGAGAAAAGCCTTATAATTGCTCTCGGTGTGAAAAGAGTTTTACACACAAAAGCAACCTTAATTCCCACATGAGAACTCACAGTGGAGAGAGCTTGTTCAGCTGCCAACAGTGTGGAAAGAATTTCATTCAAAAACAAAACCTGGAAGTACACATGAGGATTCACACTGGAGAGAGACATTTTATCTGTAAACAGTGTGGAAAGAGTTTCACTCAAAAAGGAAACCTTGAAGTCCACATGTGGATTCACACTCGAGAGACATTTTATGCGTAAACAGTGTGGAAAGAGTTTCACTAAAAAAGGAAACCTTAGAATTCACACTGGAGAGAAGTCTTACATCGTGTCTACACCGGAAGCAACAATACCTAAAGTCTGTCTATACTGGATACGACAAAGCAACCATCGCAAATCATTTGAACTTTGTGCCAGTACATCATAAATAGAACGAGGGAGCAGTTTACTGTCAGGAATTTGTTGTTGCGTCGCGCCGCTATTCAGTGTTGACAGCATCACTGATTATAACGAGTTCTATAATATTTTGTCACGCTGCGATCAATGTGAAAAGAGCTTCATAACACAACTAAGCCGTAGATACCGCATGACCATTCACACCGGAGAGAAACATTTCATATTTGGTCAATGTGGAAGGCAGAGATGTTCACAAGTCTTTAACTTTGAGTCTGAGTCAAGTCTGAAGTCTTTATCGCTGGAGTCTGAGTCAAGTCTCGAGTCTTTGGTCACAAGTCTGAGGCTGCGTTTACACTGGCAGAAAAAATCCGATCCCACATCTAACACAGATCGGAATTTGATGCACGCGTGTAAACACAAAAATCCACACGAGATCCGATTTTTCAAAAATCGAAAAGCTGTCCTCTCTCTGCCAAGTCGTACACCTTTGAGTTCCTCAGGACCCGTGCGTCATGTACACGTCTCGGCCACCCCACGTTGATGTTGGTAAAGCCAAGTAATACATTTTACAGTTAATGTCTGCCTTGTGTATATCAGTGGGGTAGGCAAAAACAGAGTAGGGAAGTTTTATATACCACATTCTGTCGTCTACAACCGCCTGCAACAGAACCGAATGCCAACCTTTCTGATTGAAGTAATCAGTGGGGTTGTGTGACGGGGCAATGATGGGAATGTGACTCCCATCAATTGCTCCAGCACACTGAGGGAAACCCCAGGTAGTGTAGAACCCCCTGATCACATTCTGAAGTTCCTCTCCCCGTGGTAACTTAACATACTCGTGGAGCAGCTCGCGTTTTACTGCGAGGCAAAAATCGCGAACAATGTGACACACCGACGAACAGCTCACTCCGAACAGGTGCGCCAATGTGCGATAGCCGGCCCCAGTGGCAAGCCACCATAAGGCAAGGGTGACACGTTTGTGCACTGGGATCACTTTTCTTAATGGGGTGTTTTTATGACAGAGACGCGCATGTAAGCGCTCGCATAGAAACTCAAAGCTAGTCTTGTTTACGCGAAAATTTTGTACCCATTCCTTCTCGTCAAAGGAGTTGACTTGGTTCCACCACTCCTGCCTCCTTGGTCTTTCCCACAGTAGTCGTGACACCGATCTAGAAAGCATTAACGCCGTCCTTATGATGGCAGCATTAAAAAGCTGCTTCCGCTTTCTTTGTTTATTTATTTGCTGTCGGGTATACTTTTGCCGACTTTGGAAAAGATGAATAAGCAAAAGTCCATCCAGAATTCGAGGGTCAGTCATTGCGCTCATTGTCATGAAAGCCAGTGAAATAATTTTAGGCGGGAGATTAGTGTAAACACAGATATCGGATACGAGGCGTGTCTAAAGTGAATGTAAACAGGCGGGCCAAAAAATCGGATATGGTGAAAAGATCGGATCTGTGCATTAAGACTTGCAGTGTAAACGCAGCCTGAGTCGAGTCTCAAGTCATTTAATGGCTCACTAAAAAAATTCCATTCAGAATCCTCATGTTTTGAAATCGTCCTATTTACGAATCTTAGACAAACTATAATATATTTTTATTAATAATGTATGATATGACTTGAGGCGGTTTCCCGGACAGGGTTTAAATTAAGACAGGAATAGGCCTTAATCTAGAATAGTTAATCATGGTTTTAAAAATGGCTTTCTGATTCACAGATTAAGTACAGATTACTAACACCTGGACTATGGAGTCCTGAACTAAAATAAACTTGATTCATTTAAAACCACCTGTGCAAATCAGAACTAGCTGAATTGAGGTTGCCTATAAAACATGGAATGAACCAAGAAAAGTTTAGAATTGTATGCAACTGAGAAGCAAATGGCAATGACAGCTGAAAAGAGAGTGCGATCAAATAACTTTTCTGAACATGAGAAAAGTATTATAAAGCAAATAGTTTCAAGACCTCCTGTTACTGAAGATAAACTGCGCACATCAGCTGTTGAATCAAAGAAAAGGGATGCCTGGAAATCTATTTGTAATGAATTTAATGCAAATCAACACATCTACAAGAACAATACAACAACTTCAGGTAAGAATAATCAGCTTTATTATGTGGCTTTTTTTTTAATCACTGTTGTCATTATTTAATACAGGTTTTGTGGAAGAATATAAAAATAAACCTAAAAAAAAACTGCTGCTGAAGCTCGAAGAGAGAGGTTTAAGACTGGTGGAGGACCTGCAAATAAAGACTGTGACTAGTTGGATGAGTTACTGACAGGAATAATGGAGAACCAGCAGCCTTTGGAGAACACACCAGGTGATGACCATCTAGATAGTTCAGATGATGGATCACACGCACCTAAGTATATGACTTATTTTGGCTTTTGTTTCTCTCCTCTCAAACTTTAATTTGCTTCTGTCATCTGATGTGAAACATTTCCCCATTTAATCTGTATTTATTTGACCATAAATGAACTGTTCTTTTTTCAAGGAGAAGGTCAGAACAGAACTGAAGAGATGGAAGGCAGTTTACCCTCCACATCCTCAGGAGCATGGGTGGCAATGTCTGCTAGTACTGGTCACCAGAAGAAAAGACTCCCTGTCCATGAAAGGTTGGCTAATGAATTCCATGAACACAAGTTGAAGTATCTTAAGGAGGAGCATGAAATTAAGATGAAGATACTACAAGTAGAACTGGAGCTGAAGATGGAGGAGAGAGATGCAGCAGGCTCAAAATGTTACATCAATACATGTATTTGTGAAATAAATATTGTTTTATTAAGTCAAGATGGAAATGATGGTTTCATAACATATCAGACAAAATATAATTATACTTTTAACATATTTTATTTGCTCATTACATGTATCAGATCTAAGCAGAAGGTTGAAAGGTAAATATCTATTTAATGTGGCACAATGCAAAAAACATGTCTGTATGCAAGTCCTTCTCTGAGGTCTGTTGTAAATGGTGGCACATCTGGATTTTCATCCTCTTCTGTTGGGGGATCTGGGCATCCCTGCTGTTTCAGGTAGTTGTGAAGAACAGTTGTTGCAATGATGACTGAATGATCTTCTTGGTTTGAATCGGAGTGTTTTCCGAAGACACTGAAAGCGACTCTTCCAAACACCAAACATGCGCTCTACTAAACCCCTTGTGCTATATGAACCTGGTTGTAGTGCCGTTGTTCAGCCGTTTCTTCTGCGCATACCCACTGTGACCAAGCAGTATTCCATCATGATCTCCTCTTTCAAACTGAGTATACAGATATGAGTTGAGGAAAATTCGGGAATCATGAGTTGCACCTTTCCAATGTGCAACAATGTTTGAGAACTGTAACTGGGGAGTGCATACACCTTGGACATTTATGGAAAACCAATTCTTTCGGTTCCTTATTCCTCAGCATCTGGAGTAGGGGGACGCTTAATGGGAATATGGGTTCCATCTATGCAACCTATGACTCCTGGGAAATTTCCATATTCATAGAATAGTACCTTGTAGTTAGCCTGGGTTGTAGCATCAGGGAAGTTGATGTAATATGGTCTTAATTCATAAATGGCCCTGCATACTCGGTGAACCAACAGTATGTAAAGTCATTCACAGACACCACATAAATTTCCAGTTTCTCGATGAAAGGCACCACATGCCAAAAACCTTAAAGTTATGAGCACCTGGAGACAAACTGGAACAGGCAGTCCTCTTTGGGTCACAGATGAATGCCTGGTTTCTAAAAGTGAAATAATTTCTACTGCATTTACTTTATGCATGCGGAAATGATCTCTAAAACATATTTCATCAAAATGTTGCAATAGGTCACTTCTGTCTGCAAGAACTTGTCTAGCTGGTGGTAAGCATTGGTCTTCATTAACATAGGCCAAGTAATCCATGTGTCTTTCAAATGACATTAATCTGAAGTTAAACCTGCCTCCTGGTAGATTTAATTTAAGCCTCAATTTAGTCCTTAAGTAACTCTAGTCTTACTCCAGGAAATCAGCCTATTAAATTCTGGACTAGACCAAGTCTAAGACTATTTAAAACCATGACGGAGAAAGCAGATTTCTGTTAATCTGGTTTAAAGGGTCATTTTAGTCTAGGACTAGGCTTAATCTCAGTCCGGGAAACTGCCCCAATATGATATATGATCTGCTTTGTAAAAAAAAAAAAAAAGTTAAGATGTAAGGTTAATGTACATCCAGCCTGTTACTTGCGTTTTAATCCATTACCATTTTCAAAAACAGTTTTTCTGTAACCAAATTCTATAATAAGAGTCCGATCTACCATGACAGATGTGAGACAGATGTTACAAAACCATACAAATAAAGTATTTATTTATAATAAAATCAGGGGTATTAAATTAAAGTTCCAAGAAGTGCAACCTTAATATTTTCTTCCAAGCAGTGGTCCGGACAAAAAAAAGTAATAATAATTTTTACATGTAGGCCTATTGTATTTTTACATTTAGATACATGCGACGCCATGTGACAGAAAAAATATTGTTTCTGTTCAGTTTTCCTCCGTAATTTTCTATACTATTTTAATATTTTAAGCAGTATATACTAAAAACAATGTAGCTACAATAATCAAAACGTTCTCATCTTGAGCAGAAAATAAAGTTAACTAGCAGTTTCAAAGTTTAAGTTCTTTCCTAGACATCTAACAACAATTTTCCCAATTATAATTACATGATTCTTTTGAAATGTTCTTAGCCTACAGATTAACTCTCTAGGATTGACGGTCGTGCCATAATGATAAATGTAGGTCAGAAACATCTTGTCACATCTGGTTTGAACAGCAGAGTCATAGGCCACGTTCACACAGCAGGTGTGACAACCGCATTCTGTAACCGAACTCACCCGTAAATTTTCAGGATTCACAACCGCATTCTCGGAACACAGATGCTGTGTGAACGGAACAGGACTGGACAACTAGTTGTCTGTTATGTCATACAGTGCGAGAGAGCCGCTCTGCTGCACAAACGCATTTTCATGTGTGGTTTCGGTAACTTACAGTGACAGAGAAATGAGCGGTGTGTCATCTGACAGTTTTAGATCCAGTCAGTTTTCCACCGGAGCCGCTCCCGTCAATTTTGTGTTCTGCACGCGACTCAAATATGCTCCGCTCTCTACCCAAATTTAAAAGCTGCTGTTGGTTAATAAAGATTTGACGGAAGAACTCGCGGCTTGATTGGACTCTTGTCATGTCAGAAGTGATAAAACTTTCAGTATTATGGACGTCGCCATCTTTGATTTTACTTTGGTCACTGTCGCTATGGTTACTGGTAAGGAATACGGGCTTGGCGGAAGAACTCGCGGCTTGATTGGACTCTTGTCATGTCAGAAGTGATAAAACTTTCAGTATTATGGACGTCGCTATCTTTGATTTTACTTTGGTCACTGTTGCTATGGTTACTGGTAAGGAATACAGGCTTGAGTCCCATTGCACGTTCATACAGACAGTATTCCAAACGCCCCTGTAAGCTGCTGTGTGAACGGGACATTTCGAGACTCATTTAAGTAAATGTGGTTGTCAATCCCAAAAACTGACAGTGTGAACGTAGCCATAGATAGATAAATAGATAGGAAGAAAAATAACTACATTTGCAGCATTGTTGTTTTCTGTTGTGTTTTAGAGAAAGTAATCTATAATTTTGGTGTTCACCGTGTTTCTGTTGATGTTAAAATAACTACGTCATCCACAGCTCTTAAACTTGGCACCTGCAAGAAACTTTCATTCATTCATTACAGGCAAAACATGTCCTGGGAATAATGAATGCAGGGGCGGACTCCCATCCAGAGGGAATCCTCTGTATGGAGAATGGACACTCCACCCTTAGGTCGTTGGTCAGTTGTGGAAGAGGTTTGGCCACGCTGCTGTAGAACTCTTAAGAAATCACACAGAAATCACTGACCTCTATTCTTCTCATTGGTGAGAGGCAGTGAACTTATGGGTGTGGATGCTCTGGCGCACCTGTGGCTTTAAGCCCTAAACACACTGCACGATTTTCGGCTGTCCCAGACGAAGGATTGGCATCGTGAAATGATTGTGGCAATTTCTGTGATCGTGCGTCTCGAGTCGTTCAGTGAGAGAGGTTCAAAGACGGCCGTTGTCACGATCTTGCTGCCAAAGATAGCCTACGACACAGCATTATCATCACACAATGTGTTCGCTGGTACGATTCACTTTTACTGACCAACCAATAAAAATGCGACATGAAATCAACACGACGTGACGCTAAAACATAAAACTGCTTACCTCAAGCTCTTATGCCTTCCTCTTTTGTCGCTTCCACTTTTTTCAGCACACATAAAAAATACAACTGCTAAAGTGTGATTAATCATGCTCTTTTTGTTTACTACTAGCGCATGCTGATGACGTTTTATTTTTCTATAGAAACATGCGTCGAAGTGTACGAGTCACTAGGTGTCATCATCGTACAGTCTACACACACGTCGTAGCCAAGTTTATTAGATCCATGTCGCACAATGTGACATGCAGTGATCTTATAGGATTGTTAAAATCATGCAGTGTTTTGGGCTTTAGGCATTTCCTCCTGTTACGCGCGCCTCGCGTACGCCCCGCCCCGCCCGAGTCCTCAAATAAACATTAGTGTTCATATTGTCTTATCTTTTTTTTTGTTTTCTCTAGTTCCTTATTGGTTGAGCTGGGGAGACGAGGCTATAAAGTGGAAGGAGGCGGACCCTCTCGCTCTCACTAAGCCAGCCACAGTTTTCTCCACAGCCACATCGCCACATACTTTTTCTTGGTTTGTAATGAGCCACACAGTTTCTACACTCTCAAGCCTGCCGGGCGCTACTCACCCCAGTTCCCCAGGCACAGCACCATTAGTTTTGGAAATAAACAATGTACTCTCTGTCTTGCCAGTAATAGCTACAGCCATTCTCTGTGTTTGGGCCGCACACGCCACTGTAGTTTCCCCAGAGGTGGCAGCCTCTGCTGCAGAACCTCCCGAGGTGGTGGTGCCTACTCTACTCCCCGAATCTGATCTCAAGTCTAGCCCAGAGAAGGCTCCCGTTCCCGAGTTTAGCCCAGAGAGGGCTTATGTTCCCAAGTCAAGCTCAGTGTTCGCTCCAGCCCCTGACCTTAGTCTAGTGAGGCCTTTAGCTCCTGAGCACAGTACAAAGATGACTTTAGTCCCCGAGTCTGCCCCAGACTTCACTCCAGTCCTTGAATCTGTCCCAGAGTCCACTCCTGTTCCCCCCGAGGTGGAAACTTCCATTGCAGAACCTCCCCTGATAACAGCAGGACTCTTTCCCGAGCTCACGGTGTTCCGTGTTTGTTGTAGCTCCTATTGCTACTGCTGCAGCACCTCCAGAGGTGGCAGCATCCGCTGCAGAACCTCCAGAGGTGGCGGGGGTGTTTGCTTCAGATCCTCTTAAGACAGGGGTACCCACTAATGAACTCTGTCTGTCCTGATGAGGTCATGGGGACCATCAATAAATCCCCCGTCAAACCAGTCCCGGCTCTAGAAGTCAATTATGAATTCTCAACCCTGCCTGTTACGGTCGCTAAGACTGCCTCAGAATTCACTCAGTGCCCTGCCATGGCCAATAAGGCCGATCCTGAACACCCTGATTGTCCTGTCACGATTAAGGAGACTGCCTATGAACTCTCTGCCTGTCCTGTTATGGCTATGGAGGCTGTCTGTGAACTCTCTGCCTGTCCTGTCACGGCTATGGAGGCCGTCTGTGAACTCTCTGCCTATCCTGTTACGGCTAAGAAGGCCTTTTCTGAACTCTTAGTCTGTCCTGTTTCGACCAAGGAGGTCGCTTCTGAACTCTTTGACGTTCCAGCCACGGTCAAAACAGCTGCCCCTGAACTCTCTGCTCGCCCTGTTATGGCCAAAGATGCCGTTTCTGAACTGTCTGCCAGTCCTGTTACAGCCGCTGAGGCCATTGTTTTAACCCCTCTGTGCTCTATGTACCAGTTCTGCCAGATCCGCCTGAGCCCTGTCACGATCTCTAGCATGAGCTCTGCTAGAGGGCACCCCATCCTGTACCCTTTACCACTCACCCCGGACTCCATTTCCCATAATCCTCTGCCTGGACACATCATCAATTGCAATCACCTGTTGTTCATCAGATCTCATCATCAGTTCACAGTTGTCTCACATTAGAAGGATTTTAAAAGTAGCACACACACTCTCTGACTTTGCTGGTGATTGAATGTTTAGCCTCCCGTTGTCTTGTCTGTGTTTCCTGGTTATTGTGTTTGATCCTCGGACTGTTACCTTGTTTTTTATTTATTGCTGCCTGCCCTGACCATTGCCTTGTCTTGTGGATTACTCTTTTGCTTGTGCCTCGGATGTTATTGTTTGCTGGGGTTTGACCCTGCCTGTTGTTACTACGCTCTATGGAATAAAGCCTTGCTTTTGGATCCCCAACTCCGTCGTCACGACTCCCTGTGTTACAGTAGTATCTATATATGTATCTATTTTCTCCTTTTTTGGGGGTAATAGCTTTATTTGAAAGCGCTGCCATTTTTATCTGGTTCAGCGTGAGGTGCAGTGGTCACGTGGTACCAACCGTAGCTCTCAGAAAACTCCCAGTTCACAAGTTGTAATTACGAGTTCTTCGAGGACGTGAATGCTTTTTACAAGTTGGTATCTTGTGCACACCACCACGCGAAATAAGTTTGCACACACTCAAAATGAACTTCCGCCAACACCACGATGACGTCATATTTGCCGCGCGCACTATGACTGTGCTATTTGTGCTGTTAAGTATTCAGCATTGGGTGTGGAATTACATAAAGTTCTATACAGGCACTGGCACATT